AGTATACAGCCACCTTAGACAGACAGACTAGCAAAGCAGGCTGACCAGAAGACAGACAGAGAGATAGACAGCAGATAAAGAGACGGACATAAAGACAGCCAGCCGAATGACAGATCCACAGACAGCTCCTCTTTTTCTATGCATGATGAAAGCCGTTCATTCTCTGGCTGCGGTTCACCGGCTGGGACCCAGCCCTGACAGACGACGAGATGGCGTCCTTACCGGGGCGAAGCTGGATGAGCTGCACATGCGGTGCTGTCTGCGTGCGTCCGCCCCCCCGTCCCCTCGGACAGAGATGTGTATCCTGGGCCTCAGAGGGTGGTCTCTCACTCCAAGACTTTGCGAGGGAGACCAGGTTCAGGAGGCTGTGCTGCACACAGAGAGAAGGGGGACGAGCCAGACCGTCTGTGTGTGCGTGGCTGAGAAGGCGAAGGACCAATGAGGCAACAGGGCGGCGTGTGGAGGCACAGCAGTGCTGCATCCTGGAGGGCTGGGGGGGGGGTTAATCACACACATGTGGCCTTCAAAAAAAAACCTGGAGCGAAGCCAAGTCAGACTGAAATGGAAACCACTCGTTGCTCACAACTTGATTGTTCGCCAAGAATTCAGCGTGAATGAAGCTAGTCTGATTTTTTTTTAAATCAGACTGCGTGACCCCTTAGCAGAACTGTTTGTTGAAATGCAGCTAGAACCTAGGTGTTTCTTTACACATAGGGTGGCAGGGGTGGGGAACAAGCTGCCCAGCCATGTTGTTGAAACAGAACCCCTGGCTACTCTCTGGACACAGCTGGGTGAGCTCCTCCAGTCAGGACAGGAGGCTCTTCTTTACACAGAGGGTGGTGGGGGTGGGGAACAAGCTGCCCAGTCCTGTTGTTGAAGCCGATATCCTGGCTTCTCTCCAGACACAGCTGGGTGAGATCCTCCAGTCAGGACAGGAGGCTCTTCTTTACACAGAGTGTGGCGGGGGTGGGGAACAAGTTTCCCAGCCATGTTGTTGAAGCCGATACCCTGGCTTCTCTCCAGACACAGCTGGATGAAATCCTCCAGTCAGGACAGGAGGCTCTTCTTTACACAGAGAGTGGTGGGAGTGTTGAACAAGGCAACCCCCAGGATGGAACAAGCTGTGTGCTGTCGCTGTTTTTCCACATTGTATAGTAATAATTGTATAAGACACTTCGACAACTGTTCCATTATCGAGTTTGCAGATGACGTTGCCTTGATTGGACTTTTGAACAATGATGACGAACGCAATCACATTGCAATGACAGGAGACGTGTCTTTTTTAGAGTTGGTGTCAGGATCATTCACAGTTTTTAAACACAAACAAAACACAGGAAACGAGCACCGATTTAAGAAAGAGACATTCTATTCATATTAACCCTGTTACTATGAAGGGGAGGAATACTGAAACAATAAATGAACACAACCTTGGCACTGTTATGGACTGCACATTGACGTGGCCTGCCGAAGCAGAGACAAGGCATTTGACAAGGCTGGCTCTGAGCTGGGGCTGAGCCTTGACCCCCTGGAGGTGGTGGCTGAGAGGAGAATGCTGACCAAGCTCACAGCCATCATGAACAACGCCTCTCATCTGCTTCATGGGACTGTTATTGGGCAGCGGAGCACTTTTAGCAACAGACTGCTCCAGCTACGGTGCTCAAAGGGAACGTTTCCGCAGGTCCTGTCAGGGTGTTTAACGCTGCCCTAGGCTAGGACTACTCGCCCTTCATCTGCTCGTCTATGGACAGCATGTTGCACTATTGTACTTTTTGGACACTCAATCTGTATATATTTATGCACATTTGCGCATATTCTTTTTGGTTTACAGTGACTATTAACATATTTTGCACACACCTATGTCTTTATTTTATATTTATTTTGTATTCCTGTATGTATTTCAATTCTTTGTCTATTCCGATGTCTGTTTTTGCTTGTCTTGGGGTGGGGAGGCTGCTGTAACACCTCAATTTCACTTTGGAGATCGATAGTCTTTTCTGTCTGTCTTGAAGGTGCAACAAAGGTTGATTTTTTTAATGGCATTTAAGGAGCTTCAATGCAGATCGTGCAAATGCTGACACTTCTCTGTATCAGTTTTATTCAGAACATTCTAACCTTCTGTCTTCACAGCTGGGGAGGAGCTATGGCCTTGCAGAACAGAAACAAGTGACCAGGACTTCCTGCACGACCTTGGACGCAATAACGTCTAACAGAGCGATATATTATCAGTCTTGCACATACAATCATAGATGTATACTCTCCTACCCTGCGGAAGAAAGTATCAGGCGCCCGGTATAAAGTTAACAAGAGTTTTTACTTCTTTTACTCCTAAAAGCCTGCAATTGTTAGTTCTTCAATGTTTACTTGACGTCATCCAATTCCCCCCCAACCCCATCAATCAGTTTCCAAAATACTTCAGCTGAGAGGATGTTGGCAACTTGCAAAAAGGGATCTTTAAAATGTCGTATTACATCCATAACTCAAAATATCCTTTCCTTGTAATCTGATACAAAACTGTCAATTCTTCCGTGGTTTCAAATCGACTGCTATTGCAGTTCCTAGGGTTCGCATTGATTACGTAAAATATTGATCAGACTAAATTGAGATATTATATCTGTTTACAAAGTTGATGTAATTACACATTTCAACATCAGCATGGATTAAGTTGTAAATCGGTGTACAACCTAAACGTCTGGATCGTAGAGGATGCAGGCGGCCATAAACCATCTCCGTGTAGAACAGCCGCTGTTTTATTTCAGCAGTAAAATGCCTTCCGCTCTTTTAATTTCAGAGGTTTGCATTCATTTGCCTACTGCAGCCTGTTGGACGACTCGAAACACGACTACTTAGCCAGATTAAAAGTCGCGTTCTTCACGTTTTAAAACTAATAGTAGCACAACTGTCAGCCTACGCGTTAAAACTCGTCCGATATTTGGTTTTAAAATCGAAGCTTTAGAAACCTCCCCTTAGTGTTCTGGTAAGACAGACTTCGGCAGTAGGGAAGCGAGCATATGACACAGATTCGAAAAGGGTTTCAAGTACACGACGGATTTTATTTCGAGATTTTGAGGGCCGTTTAAGTACACGACAGATGTGAAATGAAAAGAAAAATGTAACTCGTCATTTCGAAGCAGGGTCAGATCTGATCAGAACGAAGAAAACCGGAAACCTTATATGCGCAGCTGGCGAAAGGAGAGCTGGTGAGCCGCGGAAATAGCGGACTTTTTGTCAAATAACTCGGAGGTGAAGGGGAGGGAGAGTACGGAGCGGTCCAGGGACAATGTAAAAACAAGGCTACGTACTGGGCGTTTTCCCGGGACCCTGAAGCAATGACTTCTTTCTATGACTCACCACAACTGCGTGATAAGTCATCTAGAACAGCTGGAAAAACTTTGTAACCCGAGGCCACGGAAGGGCGAGTTTGCTGAGTCGCTAACAAAGCCTTGAGAGAACAGAGGGAGGGGCTGACTCCAGCAGCCAGTGATAGTGTTTCTTCCGCAGCTGCAGAAACGAAAGATGAAGATTTCCCTGTGCCCTGAGAAGCCCCCCCCGCAATAAACAGTAGGAGTGTTGACCGGTCTCTATCGCGAAACTGCCCCGATTTCATTTCATGATTTCATGCGACGGACGAGGTTACCGGTTTTACTGGGAAAATAAGCTGTCAAAAAAATAACAATGGCACATTACTGTATGTGTGACTCAGGAAAGCTACGAGTGTCCGTGAGGGGATAAATCCTGCGGGTGATGATGTTCAATGAAACAGCAAACACAGACTCTGTCCAACAGAACACGAGAGCACAGAAGCTGTATTGCGCTCATCACATTTTGCGATTTATTCTGAAGCTGCGCTTTACAGATGACTATAACCAAGATCTTTACATTTAAATCAAAAGGTTAAACAAGCCCACCTTAAAATCAAAATAATTAGTCATAACTTCATACTGTTCATAACACCCCCTGTAACTTAGAAGTATCTGAACAGATATGAATAACTCAAAAGCCCTACTCTCCTAACAAAGCTTCTTAATTACTATTGTTGCTTATATACCAATTTACAAAGTACCATAATAAAATCCTAGTTTTAAAAAACGTAAGTACTTTACTGTTGACGATCACGAAATACATTGGGGAAAGTGACACAATTGCTCGGCAGCGGAATTGCCTGTACTCTTCCTGAGTCCTTCCTTCAAAGCCTTGAGAACGACGTGGGGGTGATTATCAATGCCTGGAAACCAGACTCGGCGGCAGGAATGAAATCACATTGTCAACGTGGGCATATTCTTCGAATAACTGTCTCCTCTTAAAGGGGAACTGCAACGTTTTTTTTTAACTTTTGGAAATGAGAACGAATCAGCCTGAATGAGTGCATTTCAAAATATAGAACCTTCGATTTTCCTCCCAAATTTTCCGTATTATGCTCTTCAGAACAAGGCAAGCAAACGTCAGGTGAGGTGAAGTGGCCCTATTATTTTGTAAACAAGCAGGCTTGTGAATACATCTCTTTTAACCCAGTAGAAATATTGCCCTCCACTTCGAGATGGGTTTTATGACAAATACTACTTACTTGTGAGAACATTTCTGCAGTTAAATGTTGCACAGCCTGTGCTTCTTCCCTCATACATCACAGTTCATTAATCATTACAGTGACTAGTGAGCAGGAAGGGCCGGTGTAAGTCTAATTTCTTGTGAACTCTCTGGTGAACTCTGGTGAGACCAGAGGTTTGTGACAACATAGTGACTCACAGCACTTGCCCAAAGTTTGCGATTTTGTATTTAATTTGAAATGTGTAAAATTTTGCAATACCATCTGTTCATTTATTTTGTTACCAAGATTGAATAAAAATTGGGACTGCAGTTTCCCTTTGAAGGGAGGTGTGGCAGATAGACGGAATCCTGATAATTTTAATTTGATTATGCTGTTGTTGCCTGGAAAGCTCAATTTACATCAGCATTACTTCCTTTCAAATCAGGTGAGATCCCAAATTTTCCAAATTCCCTACATTTCTAAACTGATTGGATAAGCATGAGTTATTCACATGCCTGCTGCCAGAATAAATGTCCCTTCATGTTTCTAAAATGCACCCATTGCTGGGTTAGGCTCTGTAGAGGTCACCTCCTTGTCTGTGAAAACCTCAGTTTTTTTACAAAACAGACCTGTAGTTTTAGACGTTTAAAGCAGCACTCTGTTAAGAAAAAACTTATTTCTGCATGAAACAAGATCTGTAAAATAACTATTAAAATTGTTTAAAATGTAAAAATTGTCTTCAACTCTAACATTGGAGGAGACTATGTCCCCGTTCTTCCTCTATGAGGTCTGTTCACAGAAAAGGGGTACTTTCTGACCTTCTCACGAGTGTACACAGGCCAGAGACAAGGTATCTGAGTTATTGGTACCATTTTGTCAATGGAGGTAGAGGTGTCTTTCCTGTCCTTGTCAATGAGGACAGAGGTGTCTGTCCAGTCCTTGTGAACAGGGACTGAGCTGTGTGTCCTGTCCTTGACAATGAGGACTGAGCTGTGTGTCCTACCTTTGTCAACGAAGACTGAGATGTCTTATCTGTCCTTGTCAATGAAGACAGAGGTGTGTGTCCTGTCCTTATCAATGGAGACTGAGGTGTGCGTCCTGTCCTTGTCAATGGAGACAGAGGTGTGTGACCTGTCCTTATCAATGGAGATCATTGCATCATAAAAATCTCTCCAGTTGTAGCTGCTAAGAGTTTCACCCATCACCAATTTGTTCAATTTGTTCTGGGCAGAAAGGCTCTCGGGGCAGTTTGCTGGCTGAAAGTGGCAGGAAGGAGAGTTCTTTGTCTCTCTCTCCCTGGCCTGCCATTGCCTTCCTCCGGCAATTGAAGGCACAGTTCAGACGCCGAAGTCCAGGGACGGGATTCAGAGTCTGTTGGACATCGGTTCTGAGGAAGATGTACAAAACGGGATCCAAGAGCAGATTCGTGGAAGTCAGGATGAACAGGATGTAGGCAAACGCCTGGAAAGCGATGGCTTTTTCATACTGCACGTCGACGTCGGTCACGGCCAGAAGCAAGTACACCAACAGCGGCACAGAGAGCACGGCATTGGCGATCAGCACGAAGGCCAGCATGCACAGGATGCGCGCCTTCTCGGCGGCGGTCATGGAGATCGCAGCCACGATGGCTCTCCTGGTGCCAACGTAGAAGAACACAAGAAGGGCCGAGGAGAGGAGCATCAGGACGATCAGGAACCCGTACAGGACCACGTAAGAGGTGAAGAGAAGGACGCAGGGGACACACATCGTCCAGATGGCCAGAGAAAGCAGAACTGAGTTCTTGACGCTGTGGCGGAACCTATACCACAGCGGGTGGGCGATGACCAGGTACCGCTCGAGGGCGATGCACACCATGAACCCGTTGCCAGCGCTCACGCCAATGTGGAAAGCCCTGCTGCAGATGTATTGGCTTGAATTCGTGGATCCATTGACACTCGCATTTGGGCTTGTGGATTCAGTTACAAACGTGATGATGTGTTGGAATTTGATGGGCATCTGGAGCAGGTCTGAAATGAGGAGGTTGATGACATAGACTGGGGCAACGTGGTTAACAGTGACCAGTCGACACAGACCGAAAATGGCCAGGCAGTTGACAGGCAGCCCCACAGACAGACAAAGGCCCTCCATTGCGATGAAGAAGGTTTTAAGGGAGCGGACGGAAATGGACGAGATGTCTGTGGAATTGGCATTGCGGGAGGCATCTGTATAGAACACAGAGCTGTTTTGATCGACAGTGGTGGTGTTCATGCCTCGCCTGTTTGTGAGTGTTTCTGGTGTCCCGATTGTTTCAGTCCTGTCCCTGTCAATGGAGACTGAGCTGTGTGTCCTGTCCCTGTCAATGGAGACTTAGCTGTGTGTCCTGTCCTTGTCAGTGGGGACCTTTGCCTGCTGTCCAGCGGTCCAGAGCTTCTTCTGCTCCGGGGTTCTCCAGGTGAGTCCACTAGGCGCTTCTTCTCTCCCTGCCCCTCTTAGAGCCTCAGGGGTGTGGAGGAGCTGTGCTGCAGGGGGGGACAGTGTATCTCCAGAGGAGACAATTCTGGGGTGGCCGTAGAGCTTTGGAAGTACCCTAGCAGAATTATAAATTATACAGCGATTAAGAATTAATCAGCCACTTAGTCCGTCAAAATGACAGAAAACCTTATCAATTAAAAACTTAAATTCCACTATGATTGAAATCATTCATGTGCAAAAAGAAAGCATAGTACAATTAAGTTATTTCTTCGGCATGATACGTTTTAGTTAAAGAAAGTAAAGAGAAAGTAGGAAAATGTTTAAAAAGATCACTGTAAGGTTGTTTGTGAATTCTGCGTGAGATGATCACACCATACACTTAGAGTAATATCATACATTTTTTGTCATTAAGGAGAAGAATACCATGTGTCAGGTCAAGGTAAGACTTATACAAAAATGCGATACTCAGTGTCCTATCTGTGTACTGGTCTGACCTTCACCCGTAACACAGTTAAATAATGTGTGTCCGATTGAATCCCGGTATCTTAAAGCTCTTGAAGGAATATAAACTAATCGCAGTTCATATTCCAGACAATGCGTCACAGTCAGTGGGTCACAAAAGGATCTTTTGTCCTTAGAATATAAGCGGATTCCTTACCTGCCTCGCACTGGAGGAGCTGCAGGTGTGTCCGTCTCTTTCAGCTGGATGGTGACCGGGAGCAGCAGGAGACAGAGCCGGAGTCGGGATCTCCAATGTCAGGGCTGGGCGATCCTGCAGGGGCGCGAGACACAGTCACAGGGGAGAGGGAGAGGCATCTGAAGGCAGAAGGAAAAGGAGGCTGCAGATAAAGAGTCCCTTATCACTCAGAAGGGTCCTGGGGCAGATAAGAGAAAGTGCTGAAGCAGGAGTGAGATCTAACCACTTGTGTTTTATCACTCGTGTCATCTCTTCCTCTGTGCTGCAAGCTCACAGTCATCATTACAAAACATCAGAGTGCTTTGCTAAAGATGGAGCTCTGCTGTTGAATGAGAGACGTGTGGGTTTGACTTTTAAAGTTCATTTGGATTTTTCCCAGCATCTTGAGTTGCATCTAGTCTCCTACAGCACCCACTAAGCTGGAGAATAATGAAAAGCAAAGCTGGTCACCCTGGAACTGGAATGTCATACTATTGCAGAGTTTTTGTCTTCTCAGGACTGAGCACTTCACTGAGCCTTGACTACTTAACACACCCTTGAAAGCACAGAGGAATTGGAGGTGAAATAGGATGGAAATACCTGTTGGACTCCATTGCAATGCTCTTACCTTTTCCAGACTGGTGTCCAATACTTCTGTGCATCAGTCTCTGAGATGCAATCCTGTTTCTTTGGGCAAACCAGCACGGTAAGGCTCTTCCAGTGTGTGACAGCAGTGCTGATGTTCTCCGTTATGAGGCTGCAGCATGAGCTCAGGAGCCTGAGCCTTTCTGTGGTGAAACCTTGTCACGTGTGCAGTGATGCAGCAGATCTCCAGACAAACGACAGGATACAACCAAACAAGATTGAACAGCTTCCTCTTGTCCGCACCCTCCGGATGTGCTCATCTTCTTGGTGTTGGGTCAGCTTCAAGACGTCATTCTCCTTGGAATCCACACACACACTCTGCAGCTGCAGAGACCTTTCAGGATGGTGCAGTGAGGGAATCACCTGGGAAAGAGCAGAGAAAAAGCACATTTTAAATGAGTGGTGAGAGGATGAAGAGAGACGCATTCAATTCAAGAAGTACAAGACCCTGAATGCTGCTTTCTCCCCTACGAAGCACGACACGCATCCGAGAGCCGCTGCCCATGGCCTCCGCCTTTCGAAGGCAATCTCGATGCCACCATCGATACAATTCATCAGGTGCTCACGCCTCGAAGCATAAATGCTCCAAGGGGACAGAACACCAATGAGAAGACGCCAAGGCTGCTGCCTTTACTGCTGTCCAAATCTCCGGCCCTGTGGATGTGCGGGGGACAGACCACTGTCCCATACAGAAGGATATGGAAATACCGATGGACGTCCCCCACCCACTTCGGAGCCACCCACTTTTTAGCACGTCAAAAGGAATCTCTGCGCTTTACTGGAGGATAGGTCCTGACCAGAGGAGAGGTGTGTCCATCACCGACAGAATCATGCAAGTACTTGCTGTCACGTCCGCTGCCAAGTGGTCTCGTCCTAATCAAGCACCAGCTGGAAGCAATCTCCACAAGCGCCGCCGATCTATCCCTCCATCCAATCGCGCCACTCCACACTCGTTAACACACCGTCCACTTCCAGACTGAAGCCTTCTCCTTTTCACTGAACACTGCTCAGTACTGTCAGTTTCTTCTAAACTCCTTGCCTCACATTACTAAAACTTCCTCTTGCCTTTTCATGGATACTCAAACCCGGATCTTCCCTTTTGACCTTGATCTTGTCTAGCGCTTTGGATTTGTCTTCCTTTCACCGTTTGAATAACCCTTGGTATCGAACCCGGAATTCACCCTCGACGACGCCTCTGCCTAACGTTTTGGATTAGTCGGAAATCTCTCCTGACTCGGCTCCCTCTCTCTTGAACAACAACGTGACTTGTTACATCCGCTTCGCCACAGGAGCCCAGTTTTGCTGCTGGGAACCAACTAAACTCAGCTCTCAGCCAATAGCGCACCATCACCGGAAGAGACATTGTTACATGTGGGCTAGTGACAGTAATCAGTGTCAAACCCACAATCACAGAGTTCCCAGGTTGTGTCACGATCATCAGCCCTACTCTTAAGGGCGCCCTGGCTCTTTCACTTTGTTGTTGAATTTGTGCACCTGCCTCCTATCCAGCCCCCCTTGTTTAAGCCAGACACTCTCACCATTCTGGGCTTAGCATTGGGAGATGGAAGCCTGCCTACCAGGGGGTCCGGGAGTGGCCCGACGGCATAGGCTTCACCCCAGTGTCCTGACCGTCTGAGTCCAGGGCTCAGAGTGCCTGGCCTCGTTAGTCCACTTTTATTCCCTGTCCCAGCACCAGATCCCCTTCCTGTTCTTAAACCTTGTCTTGTCTTCGTCTCACTTGGATTACCCTGCTCTGGACTTTTGGACTACACCCCAGAGGACTACACCCCAGAGTCCCCTTGGACTTGTTCACCAGGGCCACGCCCCCCCGAGCAACAGTGCACAGTCGTCATGCCCCCCTGTATGTCAACCTGCCCAGTACCTCGTCGTCTCTTCCCTGTGTGTTTCACTTACTTCCGGATTATACCGTCTGCATAGGGTCCTGAGCAACTCTTCGGTACAGGTTGAGTCGCTTACGAGGCTAAAAGTGTCTGGGTTTGGAAGCTTGTTAAATATGAGTAATTTCCCTATAAAGCATACAGTTTACACGCTGAATTATAAATCGAATGAATGCCACCTTTGTTTTAGATCAATGGAGTTAAAGAGTTTCTACAGTTGCAGCAGGTCCTAAACTAAAATTGCAGTTGAGTTGGATAACTCGATAACTGCTCCTTATAGTAACGAACATTAAGATTAAGTCATTAAAGATCAGCCTGCAGCTGTGAGCTTGTTATTCAATTTTCCCTAATTGGAAATGATTAATTTACCTTCCAAGAATCGGAAGACACCTCACTTCCTCATCACTCTGAAGTAATCAAATCCGACTGGCGTCTCACATCTGCAGCCCCAGACAGCTCCTCAACTCAATTCCAACACCAAGCATTCGTCTTATTCTCCGACAGTCATCTTCCAGGACCTTCCTGGATGTTTTCATCAGGGAGGGAGACGCCTGGTGGTCACTCACCACGTCATTTAAGATTAAGCTCCATGAACATGTTCCATGTGAACGGGAACCGTGGGCGCTTCCGAAATGAGCAGAAGGCAAGGAATCATTGTCCCATGCAATGTGACACCTGCTGCGGTGACTTCCTCATGGCTCCCACGTACCAGCTTCTTCCTGAAAGTCTCTTCCCATGTTGGTCCTAGCTGGCGCGGGACGGGACCTGGTGTGTCATCACTCTGGCACTCAGAGTCTCCAGACTCATTGCGTCTCATCTGGAACTCATTCAGGCGGGAGTGACCGGGACTCGAAATTCCTCATTATCGTGCGGAGTTGTGGCAAAGAAGAGCAAACCCATTGGTGCTAGATGAAAGTAGACGGCACGCAACGTGTTGTCACATGCTCGTAACCTGGGAAATAACAGCAGACCACGTGAGTTTCCTTTGATGTCCATGCTTCATCTTTGTGTGGATGTCACATATGAAGTGAACTTGGCAAGCAAGTAGGGGGTTCAAAAAGCACAGGAATGCACTGCTTTGGTGAGAGGAATTATCAACAAATCCGTAAGAAAGCAGTGTAAAATGTAGAGCAGAAACTTACAGAGGCGGTAATAGAATGTCTATATCCGTACAGAGTCTAACCACAGTGTCTGATCTCTTTTCATCCTCCGTTACAAATGCTAGGCAACTAATCTAAATTAATACCTGTGTACTGTTTTTTAACATGTTTATTCACAAGTGTGGCCAAATTATTTCTGTGATTAGGCCATTTGTTCTAAGCATGGCCATTCAGTAAATGTGCTCAACACACTTATTACCTGATCCCAGGGGTCCCCAGTCCTCAGCCTGCAGGGGTGCTGTACAGTATCTGTTTGTTTTTTCAGGTCTCTTTAAAACAATTAGACGTAAAAACCTGGGAGGAGCTGTCTGTAAAACTGGGTACCAGCTTGTTCAGCTCAATAAGAGTCAACTTGGGATGAAAACCTTGAGACGCCCCTGACTCTCCAGGACCAGGATTGGGGATCCCAGATATAATTTAACCTCTTTATTTCCCAATCCAGGTACTCTCTCGACTGTCTCAATTAGAGATGAGATAAGATCTCTTTATTGGTCATATACAATTTCTTCTATTGGGAATTTGTCTTTTCGCATACCCCAGCTTGCTCTTCATGAGACAAGCAGACAGGGAGAGAGAAGCTTGGGGTCAGAGTGCAGGGTCAGCCATTTATACGGCGCCCCTGGAGCAGCTGGGGTTAAGGGCCTTGCTCAGGGGCCCAACGGAGTAGGATTCCTCTGCTGACTGTGGGATTTGAATCAGTAACCTTCCAGCCACAGGCACAGATCCTTAGACACAGTGTCACCGCTCTGACCCATTATATAATTAGATTTTTATGATCTTCGTCCAACTGCAACGACAAAGCTGGTAGAAGCTGTTAAACTGGTCCAAATAAACCAATAAGGGGCTGATTGAAGATGACAACAACCAAGCTGGACTGAAAACCTGTAGGAACAGGACTAGGGAACCATGCTGTAGACATGCTGGACCTCCAGGATTAGAATGGGGAACCTCTGTCTTACACTAGAGTGTCATAACAAATATGTCCTGCCTGGTTCAGACTGTGGAAACAGCGGTACTCTCTGACTGGGCAATCTCTGTGTTCCTGTGATCAACTCTGCCTCTGCAGCACCAACACACTGACCACATCAACATGCGCCAGCAGGGGGTGGCGTCCAGCATCTGTCTGACATCATTCCTGAGGAAGACGTACAGGATGGGATCTACGATGACATTGAGACTGCGGATCACAGAAGAAGTCATTGTCACCTCTTTGCTTCCCAGAGTGGTGGATATGTTTATAGATTCCAGGATATAACTGATCACAAATAAAGTGAAGAAAGGTCCGTAAATAAGGATGAAGAGGGTGAGAACAGCGGACAGCACACGCAGGGCCCTTTTCTTCTTCACATCCGGAGCTCCGATAGAGGAGGTGATGGCGGCTTTGGAGCGGACATAGAAGAAAACAAGGAGGATCAGTGGAACAAGGAAGAAGAACACAAAGAACAGAGGAATCCAAATGACTGAAGGAATTTCCATTAGATCAAGGAGAAACAGGAGGAGAATCACAGCGAAGAAGAGAAGAGGAAACAGCCAGACTCCCACAGACACCTTGATGGCGAACCTGGGGCTGCGGTGGCTCTGGTGCCACAGGGGATGGACGACAGCCACGTATCTCTCCAGGGAGATGCAGACAAAGAAGCCAATGCTGACACACATACAGATAACGTAGACCATGAGAAAACTAATGAATACATAAACTGTTGCAAGTGACCGATCTATGTAAAAGCTAAACTGTACTGGAGGTAGCACAACAAGCTGGAGAAGGTCAGTGATGAGGAGGTTGATGACGTAGATGGGGAGGGCATTATTGGTCTTGATTAGCTTGTAGAGTCCGATCACAGCGAGGCAGTTGAGAGGCAGCCCAATGCAAATGATGCAGCTATAGAAAACAATTTCAACAATGTCTATTCCTGTCAGCCAGGGACTGAGCTCACCAGGAGCAGTGCCGTTGTCCATAGTGCTGTTTTCCATTGAGATTGATTGAGATTGAGTGTCCTTGTTTATAGAAAATGAAGTGTCCCTTCTGTCCTTGTAAATGAAGAATTGAGGTGCCTGTCTTTCTCTCTGAAGGACTGATGCGTCTTTCCTGTCCTTGTTGGTGGGGACGTTTGCCTAGTGTTCAGCAGAGCACTGCTTCTTCTTTATCCAGTATCCAGAGGGGACAGATTTCTGAGTTGGTTGTGCAGCTTTGGAAAAAATAAAAGCACAATTAAGAATAATAAAGTGATTAAGAATAAAATGATTTTTGTCAGCCAATCAAAGTATCAATCAATTGATGAAAATGATAGAGAACCTCAATATTTCAAATCTTAACATCCCCTGTGATGGAAAAGTATTGATCATAAAAATTAAAATGTAATCCACTACATTCATTTCATCCACTTAACTTACTTTGTTTAAAAATGATGTGCGAACATGTCTAAAACTTCTGCTGTGGTGTTGTTTATGTCCATGGGTTTAACTATAAAAGACTCCTAGAAAATAACCATGGATTAATACGTTGAATGAAACTACGCACAACTACGTTTAATTTTGTGCTCATAATTTACATAAATATCCCGCAGTTCACTTTCACATTTTCATTTGTGTTTATTTTCCCTGCTCCACTGCTTGTTTCCAGACATACTATTGCATCTAAACCACAGAGAGGGATGCAGCTCTAGCAGGTAATGAAAAGGTCAAATTTCCCGAAGGTATAATAATATTACACTTGAATCATAATAAATGAAAACAATAATATCATGTGTCATGAAATATTTTTCACTCCAGGTGAAAAAATAAATAAAATAAATAAAATTATTGCCAGCTAAATTTAAAGCTTTTGGACTTCTAAGTAACATACACATTTTTAGAGCTGAGTACAAGCTGCCTTAAACAGAAGAAAAGCAAATTGCTAAGGAACCAACTACCTCATTTTAATCATCACTATGTTAACATTATGAAGCTCTGTTTTGGGTGACTTACTA